AAGAGTCAGCCACACCCCCCTAAAACGGCTCGTTCTAACATGCCCCCACATACCTACGTCACGATGTGGGAAGATTTGCATAACGCCGCCCAAATGTTCACGCAACGAAAGAAGGCATAACTTTGATTCTTGCTGTAGTATTGTTGCCGCCGCTGCCATGTTGTGGAGACGCTGTGTGCTTTGTCGTGAAAGCGAAACTACTTTATTTGACCTTCCAAAAGAGGACACGACTAGAAATCAGTGGTTAAGTTGTATTTACAACACTGTTCCAGAACACTTCAACCCAAATATTCAGATGTGTGCAGCACATTTTATGGAGGACGAGGACTGTTTCCTGGGAGAGTAGCCTACAATGCCGGTGTCTGTTTCTATAAAGTGGGGCAATTCCAACTTTGCAAGGACAGTCTGGCGCTTCTGACTCACAGACTGTAAGTACGTTTTCATATTTAAAGAATTTGCCACTGACGATTCAAACGCGAGTTTTGGGCAGTGTAGTGTAGCGCTTGTTGTTTGTCATTTCTCCGATCACAAATGCAGACATGGTTTTATGTTTAAAAAGACAGTATAAGTCATTATAATCCGCAATTATGTCCCCACTGGATGCAACAAATGCTTCGTTTATAATGGTTTTTATTGGTTTTGTCTCGTAGCGCCGGGACACATGGAAACACAGTATGGTAAGGGGCGTAACATTTCCATCACACGCTTGAGGTATTCGGCCAATCACAACGCACTGGATAGCTGGCCAATCAGAGCACACCTCGCTTTTCAGACCGATGAGTTTTGTAGAAATCGACGCGTTTCAGAAAGGCGGGGCATAGAGGAGAAACAATAATGTACAGTATGTGGAAAATAATGTTTTTTTTAAACCTTAAACCACATAAACACATTTAATTACACCAAATACACAAAATAATGTTCTTTTTAGCAACGTCATATGACCCCTTTAAATATCATTTAATGAAATCACTTTAATTCAAAATAATAGTGAAAAAGTAAAGCACTCCTGAGGTCCTAATTGTCATAAAAATTCGGTCATAATGCAAAAAAGCTTTAATGGTCCTACAATACGCTTCATTTAATTCATGCAAAATATAATTTCTGGTTTCTTCCTTCTCTTTACAAGGTTAAGCATGACCTGAACATGTTTTTATGAATTTTACCCTTACTACACAGCCAGATCCTCCACCCATAGAGGAGTGTCAGTTTACATACCAGCTCTTCCTGCAGTTAGATAACACCGAAAAGCTATAAATGGCCCTTTTTTTAGACTACATCTATATTTCATTGCCATTTGTTTTCATGTTGTTTACACTCATTCTGGCTTCTCGTTCTAAACGCAGTGTTAAATCAGTCCATATAGCACATATGAAATTGTAAAACCACAAAAGCTAAAGGCCTCACTCCGGAATGTGAAGTATGCGAGCCAAAGGAAACCAAGAGCAGCCAAAGGGGGGTCGATAAAATGTCATATCCTCTCGCTTAAAAACCCGAGCATTGTGCATGCTACATAGTGGATGTAAATGCATTTGTACGTGCTTAATATGCAATATGCATTCGTATTTGAGTGAAGAGTCTGTTTTGTGATGTTTTTAAGTGTTGCTTGTGTGCACGTCCCCCCTTCTAAACAGAGCACAGTGGCTTATTCCATAGTGGGAGGTGTAGTTCTGTGGAGAAGTCACCGCAGATCAATGAACTGAGCGAAACAGAGGGGCTGGGCAAGCCGACTACAGCGAGCATCCGTGGGATATATGCTGCTCACCTATTATTTCTCCCCCGCATTAATTTGGTCTTAAAGATACGTCAAAGTGAGACTCTATGACAGCACTGCTCAGTCTCTATGGTTTAAAGAGCCACAGATGCAACTTTACCCTCTTGGATACACGAGAACATAAGAGATAGAAACATTTGGTAGAAATTTATTCATCCATCGGTGGATATTCGGTTGTTAAGGATGATTTTTGCAAATTCTGCCCACACGGTGAGGACGTCACATAATCGTAAACAGGTAAAATCTTCTTTGACTTTAATTGTGGCCCTCATGGTTATTTGTTGTCTAAAGTGGGGTTTTAAAGTCATAATTCAAAATGATCTGTGCTAATGTGTTTGTGGAAACTGTTATTTGCACTTTTATTGTAATAATAATAACAATAAATGGAATGTTCCAGTGATGATTGACGGATGAAAGACTACTAGTGTCCAAAAGCAGAATCTAATCCATAAAGAATAGCTGTCATTGGTTCCCTTCCAATCAAATGCTCCCCTCCGATGGGTGTGTTTTTGTTGTGCTAGCGTTTAATTTGATTGTGTTATGGCACCGGCTCTCATTCACAATTCTATCACCCCCCCCATCAAACCCGTCCCACCAGTTTAAAAATAGGCCTCTATTTGATCAAGTTTTTACGTGTCTCATGCACGTCTAAGCATTTTGCTCTGATGGGAATATACATTCACAGCCCTGCCTGTCTGTACTTCTGATGGACTGTTTGGTTTCGCTGGTTAATCTGCTTTACCCTCCTGTAAAGGTCAAAAGTCACAGTGCTTAATTGATGCACCCTCTCATATGACACTTTTCATTAAACCCTTCTCTATCTCACCCCATGCATGCATGCATTTCATGTGCACTACCAGCCTTGAGCATGTCCATGCCATATTTCAGCCTTATTTTTAGATTTTGCATTAAGACATTTTTTTATGAGAATGAACAATATAGAAACAGTTGGTGAAAGATTGTTCATCCATCGGTTGTTAAGGATTATTTTTGCAAATTCTGGCAGTGAGAACGTTGCATAATTGTAAACAGGTAAAAATCTTATTTGACTTTAATTGAGGTTCTTATGGATATTTGTACAGTTATAAAGTTAGAACACATCCCAGTTTTATTTCAGCCTTATTTTTAGATTTTGCGTATAGAAAATGCCACATTTTAATGATGAGAAATGTATTCATCCATTGGTTGCAGAATTTTTGCTAATTCTTCTACACAGTGAGGACGTTGTATAATTGTAAATGGGTAAAAATCTTATATTATAAAGCCTTTTGGGTGAAATCTTTAAAAGAACATACAAATCATATTTCAGCATATTTGTAGATTTTGCATAAAGAAAATGACAAATTATAATGATGAGAATATACAAGATAGAAACATTTGTTGAAAATGTATAATTATTTTTATATCCGTCTGTTGTTAAGGATGATTTTTTGCGAATTCTGGCCACACAGTTAGAATGTTGCATAATCATAAATGGGTAAAAAATCTTGTTTGACTTTAATGTGGCCCTTGTGTTCTTTAAAGTGCAGTTATAAAGTCTTTTGGGTGAAACCAACATGTTCAAGTCATATGCATAAAGAAAATGCAAATGTTTATGATGAGAATGTACAAGACAGAAACATTTATTCGTCCATTGTTTGTTAAGGATGAGTTTTTGCAAGTTCTGGGCACACAGTGAGGATGATGCATAATTGTAAACGGGTATAAAATCATCATTTGACCTTAATTGTGGCTCTCATGGTTGTAAAATATTTTGGGTGAAACCTGTAAGCGAACATGTCGAAGTCATACTTCAGCCATATTCTTAGATTTTGCATAAAGAAAATAACAAATTTTCATTACATTATGCGCATTTCCCTCTCAAATTCTCCTTACTTTAAGCTATGATATTTACTTATGCTATATTTGTTGTAACTAATTTACACTGAAATATTAACACATCTCAGTAACCACACATAAGAATAATAGAAATGATAAAGAAGCTGAAAAGTAGTGTCTGCATTACAATAATGAGATTTACAATAATAATTTAGGCTACAGGTGTGTTTAATTGTCATGAAAATGAAATCAATATAATTTAATGCAATATCATTTTTAACATGTCAGATATGACCTGCTTATGTTTCCATGCGATTCACTCTTTCACAGGTGACTCTGAGGTGGGTTTAGGTGACGTTGTCATATCAGCACATCGTGACAGGATTAGATGGTGTTGTTGTTTCGACCTGCAGCATCTGCGAAAGCCTCGTGTTGCGAATTGCACGCTTATAGTGCGTTGCATAATGATGAAATTTGATTTATCAGCAGATTGACTTCTTGATAGAAAAGGAAGAGGAAGGGTTTGGTAGTCACTCAAGAGGATTATGCATATATTCATAGGCTGTTTAGCAGCAGAGTGGGATCTCTCACAGGGTGAGGGCGGTTACTTAAAGTTCAGTGTATTTCCAGCACGGATATGATGGGCTGACTAGGTCTGCGGTGCACTGATAAGAAGCCAGTCTCTCCCCACAGAGCTGAATAGTCAAACAGATGCGAGATACAAACAAGCTTTGAGTTCCTAAGAAAAGCCCGTTCCACTCTGGGAATGTGTGGGTTTCAGTCGGGGCAGAGGACCTTCGAGGGGAAACACTGGCTTCTCGTCCTCAAAGATGTTCTTTGTCCACTTGTAGGCCGAGTTTGTGCCTCATTTCCTGTTTGCACGGCTGTTTCTCCAATGCAAAGATCAGATGAGCTGTCTTGTGTTGTTTTTGAGGTCTGTCCTGAAGTCGAAAAACAGACTTGGAAAGTGCGTGTTGTTCAGTATGTTCATTTTTTTTAAGTAAATAGAAATGTGGCACAGCTTTCGGTCTGATAGGAAAATTACTTTATGCGGTATGAACTGCAGTTTAGGATGTCCAAACGTGATGCTGTTAAACCATTCATCTTGTGAGCGTTTAAAGAGATTAGCACGCTTCAAGGACTTCCCTCTTGACCGGCAACGTGACTAACTGTGCCATTTTACAGCGTATCCTCTCAGAACGCTTGACTAATAGCATAAAGTCATTGTGCTCTACAGGATGACGAGTTTATTTTCATCTAAAATAGGAACCAGGGGCATTTTCTCTTTGGTAGTCACTCAAGAGGATTATGCATATATTCATAGGCTGTTTAGCAGCAGAGTGGGATCTCTCACAGGGTGAGGGCGGTTACTTAAAGTTCAGTGTATTTCCAGCACGGATATGATGGGCTGACTAGGTCTGCGGTGCACTGATAAGAAGCCAGTCTCTCCCCACAGAGCTGAATAGTCAAACAGATGCGAGATACAAACAAGCTTTGAGTTCCTAAGAAAAGCCCGTTCCACTCTGGGAATGTGTGGGTTTCAGTCGGGGCAGAGGACCTTCGAGGGGAAACACTGGCTTCTCGTCCTCAAAGATGTTCTTTGTCCACTTGTAGGCCGAGTTTGTGCCTCATTTCCTGTTTGCACGGCTGTTTCTCCAATGCAAAGATCAGATGAGCTGTCTTGTGTTGTTTTTGAGGTCTGTCCTGAAGTCGAAAAACAGACTTGGAAAGTGCGTGTTGTTCAGTATGTTCATTTTTTTTTGAAGTAAATAGAAATGTGGCACAGCTTTCGGTCTGATAGGAAAATTACTTTATGCGGCATGAACTGCAGTTTAGGATGTCCAAACGTGATGCTGTTAAACTATTCATCTTGTGAGCGTTTAAAGAGACTAGCACGCTTCAAGGACTTCCCTCTTGACCGGCAATGTGACTAACTGTGCCATTTTACAGCGTATCCTCTCAGAACGCTTGACTAATAGCATAAAGTCATTGTGCTCTACAGGATGACGAGTTTATTTTCATCTAAAATAGGAACCAGGGGCATTTTCTCAGAGACCGGGGAGGCAGTGACTTCTCAGAAAAAAAATAGGATGAGAATGTGATCTCCAAAATTTCATTACACAAACAACAAGCACCCAGTACTATGCATTTTTTAACGTTTATCTTAACGTACTAATTATTAAAAACGTCAGTTAATCAAGTTTAACTGAAGTTCTTCAAGCATTGTTTAAACTGCTTCAAAACATGAACTCCAATAATACTGTTAAAAGCCGTACAAGAACAAAGAAAATCCAATATTTCAAAGGTGTTTTAATTACTCATGTTTCACTATCCAGTAGTGACACCAAGTAAATCATCTCTCTTGCCTTGCTTTAGCTTGTTGCGTTCACATTAATGTGAGCTAATGGTGTGAATGGAGGAATATAGGCTAAAAGTGACAGCTTTATATTGTATTATTGTATTAAATTCTTCTGAAGTAATTTAAGAAATGCTTTGAAACTTGAAGAACTTGAGGTAAACTTGATTAACTTTGATCCTCGCAAGCAGGGAATGTTCTCAGAAAGTTCTGGCAAGGTTCTCTCAAAGTTATGAAGAAAAGTTCTTCAGTAACATGAATAGAACGTCTCAAAATTTTAGCACAAAAATGTTATTTATACATCTTTTTTTCTTTTTCTTTTTCTGAACGTTCTAGTTTTAGTATTTTAAAATGTTACTACTTGTTTCAGATTTACATTTTCAGAACATTAGCAAAATGATACAATGTTCCCTTAACATTCACATAACCCAGAATAAACATATTTAAAATGTAAACAAAAAAAAAATAGACATTTTGCATGTTCAGGGAACATTTCAGAAATGGCTTTCAGAAACAGCTGGGATGTGACTTAATTATGCATTAAAATGCATAGTGTTGGTTGTTTGCTGAATGTGTGAAGTTGCTGTTCCTTATGTCTTTAAACCAGAAACCATGTAAAACCATGAGACTTTGCTGCCTAATTTCAGAAGTCACAACACGCCACTGATAGAAAGTGCTTTTATCACCCTGTTAAATGTTTAGTATCAGCAGTGTTGGAGGAATCCATATCAAGGCAGATTTAATGTTGCTTTTGACCTTTAATAATCCACCGCTGCCTTTTTAAACTCAAGCTTGTCTTATTTATCCAGTCTTGTGGTCACTTCTTTACGCAGCTGCATTAGACAGTAGCAGAAAGAGCATTTCAATAGGACATTGACCCATAAATGCTGTCTTTGTTTTGTAGACCTTTAATGAAATGATATTTTGTTCAGCACTACTGGATTTCATGGAGCTCAGGTCTGTGGTTTTCAGCACCTGCCAATTTTGGTCATTTTCACTGCTGTCTCTACTTTTGTGTGGGAATTAAAGGGATAGTTCAGCCTAAAATTAAAAGTAGTCATCATTTACTCACATTAAACCTGTGTGACTTTCTTAAACATAACAGGAGAATGTCCAAGCATCTGTTTTCCATATTCGTGAAAATGGATTTTGATTTATGTTGTCACACAAAAAACAAACAAAAAAAAACATTAAAAACTACAAACTGTAGCTTTAGCTTATATGATGGTGTGAAATATTACATTTCAGTCTACTCTTTACACACAGCTGTCACATGACTTCAGAAAACATGAAAAATGTTGCACATAAATCATATGAATTACTTTTAGCACGTTAGAAAGAAAATAAGACCGAGTCCAAAGAGGTTGGAGGTGTGCGTAAATTATGATAATATAGTCATTTTGGGGGGTGAATTGTTCTTTAAATTGTGAGTCAAAGTAATAGATTCAAACAGCAATGCTCAGTGACAGCATAATATAAAATAATATTCATCTAAACAAACCCATGGCACTATTCGCAATATTTAATTTAACTTATACGCCTCATATGCAGTACAAACAATGTTAATATGCTATTATATGAGTGTTGAACTCGATTTAGAGTCCTTTGCTCTCAAATGAAAATCTTGCATTTGCATATAAATTGCACAACGCAGAACAATTTTTAAAACTGGTTTCTTAAATGACTTTCCTCTGCTAAGCCAAGCCATGTTACATGTTTATGTCTTTAGAAACTTGACTGAATTGCGCATACACTTTATTTTGAATCAGAATGATATCTATATCACATAATTCATGTCAAATTCATGCTAAGATTGTCGAATGCATCAAATATCGCCTCTTTTTTTTATTGCACTACATTTATTGTTGAGTTTAAATAGATCTCTGGACTGGACACAAAGACAGAAGTGGAAGATTATTGGCTTTTCCTGGTAGTAAAAATGGATAATTAGAATTATAAATATACCACTTCCAAATTTCACTTAATTCGATGTGTTATGTGCCATTTCTTTGTAATTATTTGTGAAATTTACTAGCAAATCCAACACCAAATTTTCAATGTACAGGGTTGTGAATAAAAACCAGACTTCAGCTTAGATCCTTATTAAAGTGTTTTGGCTTCTTGTTGATGGAACGATGATGAGTTCATGTGACGTGATATAATATCGTGTAAAACAAATGGAATGTATTTTCACAATGAACTTTCTGTTAGTTTTATGTTGGATCAGAAGTTGCGTAAAAGGCAGGATGGGAACACAGGAGGACAGTTTTCTTCTCTCTGGATCTCGTCCATTGAACTGTGTCACTGCTGCATACCAGAGATTCCGAACGCTTCCTCCTCCTTGTTACTTCCACAAAAGAGCGAGCGGGATAATCACAGTTGAACTGCGAGGGCACTTGAGCGGGAAGACCTCCGCAGCTCAGAACATCTGTGTCCATACAAACAGGACGGAAGTGATGTCTTTACCACACAAGAACTCCTTTATAGCGCAGAGAATGAAGCCAGCAAAGCATTGCCGTTCAGAAATTCTCAATGATTTTCAGTGGCGTTGGCCTCGCATTTTTGGTTGAAGCTATTCTGGTTAAATAAAAGTTTGGAATGGATCTGCGTGACATTTACTTGATGTTTGTAGCAGTGGAGCTTGTTTCTATTTGAGAAAGCAATCTGACTCTTTCATACCTGATAAAGCTTGAGTATTTTGTATGACCAAAAATATCTCTATTGCATCCGTGAGAAATCAATCCAAAGTTCCAGTTTTCACTGTACAATGACTTAACTCTTTTATACCTGATAAAGCTTGAGTATTTTGTATGACCAAAAATATCTCTATTGCATCCGTGAGAAATCAATCCAAAGTTCCAGTTTTCACTGTACAATGACTTAACTCTTTTATACCTGATAGAGCTTGAGTATTTTATATTTTATGTTTTACTTAGTTCATGTTCCTTCCCTTTTGTTCAGAGAAATTGCTGAATTGTGCATGTGTTCAGAACATGCATGATAAACCACAACAATTTCACTACTATTATGACCATAAAAATCTTTATTGCATCCATGAGAAATCTATCAAAAGTTTCACTGTACAATGATTTATCAGTCTCTTTTATTTTTGAGTTCTTAATGTAGTAGGCTTTTGTTTTACTTGGCTCTCATTTCTTCCCTTTCGCTCAGAGAAATAGCTGGATTTTGCATTTATACAAAACATGCATGATAAACCACAACACTTTCACCACTGTTATGACTAAAAGTATCTTTATTGCATCTGTGAGAAGCAAAAAATGCAAATGCAAAAGTATATGACGTCCTGTTTGTGTTCTTTGTTTTAGACTGTGGTGGAAAAACTTTAATTGGAGCATCAGGAGTTGTTTTTTAAAGTAACATTTAATATGACATTCTGTGGAGTTGATGGTCTTACGTTTTAATTTCTAAATCTATGCAATCTCAACAAATCTATTCAAATAGATTCAAAAATGCCTTTATTGCATTTGTGAGAAGTTGAGAACCATAAAATGCAAATGCAAAAATATACGGTGTCCAATTTGTGTTCTTTTTTTAGATTTATTAAAAAAAACTCACTCATGTCATTTTCTTAAAATAACATTTAATATTACAATCCGTGGAGTTGCATTGACGGTCTCGGGTTTTAATTTCTAGTTCCAAATCTGTTCAAATTTTGCATATGTATAAAAGCTAAAGGTATGACTTGACAAGTTTTGCAACTTGACTCTGGTACTTATAGACTTTTGTAGACTTTATTTTGAATCAGAACTCTATTCACAGCAGCCAAATTCATGCTAAGATTGTTGTATTTATTAGATCACTTGCGTGAGAAATTGCCTTTTGTTATTGCATCAAATTTATTGAAACGTATGATTGAGTTTAAATGGTTGTCGGGACTGTAGAGAAAGACACAAGTGGATGATCTCAGGCTTTTCCTGGTGGTCCTAGCTTCAGGAAAGGGTTATTATTAGTTCCTCGTTGAATTGCTGTGTGGATCTTGATGATGGAAAGGTGACAAGAAAACATGAAGTTCCTATGATATTCACGACATTTGAAATAATATCATGTGTTAAACAAAAGAGTGTATTTTTCTCAACAAATCTGCAAGCTATATCCAAAGATGGCATGTAAAGAATCTCAGATTCATTGGATGAGTGTTTCATGAGAGAATAGTTTTTAAAGGTTTTACCTGAAATGTGAATTACATAACACATGGGTCCTTGAGGCAAAACCGTTCCCCGTGAGAAGTGCATGGGACTTTCTTGTGAAATTGTAAGTCTCTAGCTCAAACGGTGTAGTGGGGTGGATGTTTTGAATATTGCAAATTCAACCCAAATTATAATGAGTTTTTACCACAGGAATAGCAATTGCTGATGATCCTCTTGAAGTTGTTGCAGACCTACCTAGAAGTTCAGTTCCATAAAACAAGCAGGATTCACCTGCGTTGAGATTAAAAGAATGGCTTTAGGTCTGTTGCATATCTAGCTCGTCCAAGAACAAGCTTTAACAAAAGGGTTCAGCACATAGAAATGTTCAGTGCTGCATTCGCTTCCTTTAGATTCTCGAAGCGTCCTCTCCGTTAGCTGTGCTCCTAGGTCAGAGCTTCCGGCCCCTGTGGACCCACTTTATGCTGACAACTGCTTTCTGAAGAAGAAGAGACTGCACTGCAGATATGGATCACAGCGCTGCCAGATACTCATCCTCGCTCTGACAAACATGAGCAGTGTAGCATTAGAGCTGAGGAGATTCAGTAGGGGTGGAGGGAAAGATCAATTCATTGATTCATCTCTCCTTAAATGATTCTTGTTTGATCCTCAAAAATTCTGAATTGGTTTTAGTCATAACATTTGTCATTATTTGTGGTTATTGAAAAGCAAAACATTATATTGGTGGGGCAGAACGGACATATTTCATATTTACGAAATTTGTGCTTTGCAAAATTCAACTTGCCAAAGATTTGCACTCATGCACTTTTGCTGACTAACCCAACCCAACAGTTGGGTTAGTCCATATTTGACCCAACATTGGGTTGAAACAACCCAGCATTTTTTTAGAGTGTACTTATGGCTTATTTTGCCACTGTTTACTTTTTGCTTCTCTGTTTTCTTTGACCTTGTTCCACTCTGACCACAGTTTGTTTTGTGTCTATCCCTCCAGCCCCCGGTTGGCCCCGCCTCCCACCCGATGGCTCCGCCCAGTCCTGGAACCAACAGCAGCACCAATCACAGCAGCTGCAGCAGCAGCACAGCCGGCTGGGAGCAGCTCAGTAAAACTAACCTCTACATTCGTGGTTTACTGCCAACTACCACTGACCATGACCTGGTCAAGCTCTGCCAGCCGTGAGTACCACCCTATATCGACCTTCAGACGTAAATATTAAGATCAGATACTGTCAGAAGGCTGAAAAATGTCAGGATATAATTTTTTTTAGCTGCTGTATATTGTATAATCCTCATTAAAAGAGTACAGAAATACATGATGAATTAAAGGAATAGTTCACCCAAAAATGAAAATTTGCTGAAAATGTCCTCACCCTCAGGCCGTTCGAGATGTAGATGAGTTTGTTTCTTCATCAGATTTGGAGAAATGTAGCATTGCATCAGTGTCTCAGCAATGGATGCTCTGCAGTGAATGGGTGCCATCAGAATGAGAGTCCAAACAGCTGATAAAAAACATCTCAATAATCCACAAGTAATCCACAGCACTCCAGTCCATCAACTAACATCTGGTGAAGCCCAAAGCTGCATGTTTGAGAATCAAATCCATCGTCTGGCTAAAATATGAGTTTTCTATCCATAATAACATAATAGCAGGAATCAACAATTTGAAGTTAAAAACGTCTTCATGATGGATTTGTTTCACAAAAACACGCAGCTTTTGACTTCTCAAGATGTTAACTGATGGACTGGAGTGGTGTGGATTACTTGTGGATACTTGTGATGTTTTTATCAGCTGTTTGGACTCTCATTCTGACGGCACCCATTCACTGCAGAAGATCCACTGGGTGAGCAAGTGATGCAATGCTACATTTCTCCAAATCTGACGAAGAAACAAACTCATCTACATCTTGGATGGTCTGAGGGTGAGTACATTTCCAGAATCAATTTACATTTTTAGGTGAACTATAACTTTAAGAAACCCAGCTTTGAGAGGTGTTTTATTTGCTGTAGTGGAAGATAAGATGAAGAGTGTGGCCTCCAGCCTCCCGGTTTGTCCGGATGTGTCTCATTAAGCCCAGTTTCACTGCGAGATGGTGGCTCCTCGAAATGGAGATTGATTACTGTGGCTATAGGGCGAGTGCTTACAGGGTCATAGTTGTAGTCGATTCTCTGTTCTTTCTGAAACAGTGTGCAGTTATTGCTTGATGAATGCTTCAACATGTGGTTGAACGGCTCAGAGGTCAGTCTATCGATCAGAGACTCTGTTCAGAAATGGAGGCACATTATCGAGTGTAATTGCTTTGCTTGAGATCTAAGGTCTGTTTCGCACTCAATGCAAGTTCAGCATCTGTGGCATGGTGCCGATGATCCCAGAAAATCATTTTGACTAATTTTATTAGTTAAAAAAAATAAAAAGGCAAAATTTGTAGTTACAGTGAAGCAGTATTGACAATATAAGTCTATGGAGCAACATTTGCATTGTAAAAGCAGAAATCTGGAAGCTTGTGTGTGTGTGTGTGTTTTTTTTGTGTTATTGTTTATAATATCTTATATACAATAGTTTACATTTTGTGCCAATGCAAGCAATCAGGCAGTAAAAAAAAAGCAGTTATGTGAATTATTCAGTGACAATGTGTTTATTATTCAAGCTGTAAACTTGTAAATTATCTTTATGAAGTGGGACAGTTCCCTTTCATGGGAACTTCGAACTGCGTCCTCTACGTTTCCCCATAGCGACCCCTAGAGGACGCAGTGTCTCATTCCCTACTCAGGGAACCATGGTTACATAAGTAACCTGAGACGTTCCCTTTCATGGGAACTTTGAACTGCGTCCTCTAGGGGTCGCTATGGGGAAACCTAGAGGACGCAGTGTCTCGTTCCCTACTCAGGGAACCATGGTTACATAAGTAACCCGAGACGTTTTCTAGGTTGATGTTCGATTAATTATTGGTGTAATTCTTCAAGTTTGCGCCGTCTCTTTCTGGTATCTGGTATTAAAGTGACTGACATTAGCTATGCGCTTTTGACTTTGAAATTAAAAGATTGGATAAAACTACAGATTTGGATTCTCTCACACTAGTCTCATGTTAACGTATAAAGGCTTATATCTACTTTTAAAACAGTATTTTCTCATGATGCATGATATATAGGAATCATATTGAGTATCAGCTAATATGAAAGATTATTTAAAAAATGTATCATTAGTCTATATTTTAAATATATTGTCCAATTGTGCATGTTAATTTCTCCTACTTTTATATTTAGATTGCAGTCTAATGCTCTCTTAAAGTAAATCTTTAAAAATAGTTGAATTTTAAAATGTAGTTACATTACTAATTTAATTAGACTGTTAAATGCAATCTTTAGCAAATCTAAAAAAATATATATTCATCCATAAATTCACTTGTAGCATCTAAACAAGTAATTTTCAATGTTTTATTTTTAATTTATTTACATTTATAAATGTGTTTATTAATAGAATTTTAATATGGGCCATTGATTGATTATTGGTTATCAGAATATTGGTTATTTTGTAATATTAAAGATTGTTTTTAAAATGTATCGTAATCAGTCTATGTTTTACATACGATTCCCAATATTGAAATGTGCATGCTAATTTCTCCTACTTTTATATTTAGATTACTATAGGTAGCATCTAGTGCTTATTTAAAGTAGATCTTTAAAAATACAGTTTTAATTTAAAAACAGTTACTTTAATTGTTTAAATTTAAGATTTAGTCTTTAACAAATCTAAAAAAATAATATAGATTTTTTTTCATACTTTACACTATAATGTTGTAATGCATTAATTCACTTGTAGCATCTAAAACAATTGATTTTCAATGTTTAATTTGTAATATTTTTTTAAGGCGTTGTGGAGATCACACCTTTTCAGTTGCGGATCCTACACTTTGGAATAAAAACCTTTGTCAACTCTGGACATTTTTAAAAGGACGTTAAAGACTTTCTCATTCTCATGGTTTTGAAAGTGCTTCATAAATAAAAGTTGAGTTGAGTTTAATTGATTTATTCATTACTTATTATAAATGTATTTATTAATATAATTTTAATATGGGCCATTAATTGATTATTGGCCATGATATGATAATTATTGACTTTGAATAGAAATCAGAATTAGATTTCTGTGCATTCTGTATATTTTTGTGCACTTCCATAAGTGCATTAAATACTGTTTTATAAACTGAGGGATTATGCAACAAATAATTATGCCACAAATGCTGTTCATAGCGCTTCACTTTGATTGAACGCGAAACATTTGGCACATGCAGGATTTTCTAGGAGTATCTGGGATACTGGATAAAGAAAGCGCCATTGGCCCCTCTTTGGTCTTAGTATTGTAATCTCACTCATCCTGGCACTGCGGCTCAATGAACTCTCATATTTCGGTCATTGGGTGTCAAGGGCTGAAGGGTGACTTTCCCCTCTAAGAGGTCTGGGATGAATGCCATCAATAAAAGATGAGGCATATGCTGTGTCTCTCTGAGCCTATTGGGTGATTTGAAGTGATTTTCAAGCAGAATCACAGGACCGGTCCTCAGAGGACTCCTGTGAGTGAAGGCGCTAAGATGATTGACAGATAGACCGTACTGCATTACTGCAGACTGAAATAACACTTATGAACAGAACAATCCAATGTGAAAAAGAGCATGGTGTTGTGAGTCTGAATTAGGGTGGGTGGGATGACCAAACGCTATGAGTAATTACAGTATTATATCACAGTAGCTCGTCATGTTTGCCGAATTCAATGCAAAAAATATTATATATTAAATATATATGAATTAATTATTTAATTTGAATCAACTAACTACAAAAAGTTGTCAATGCTTGGTTATTTAATGTGTATATTTTGTAGGACAGTTAGTTGCATTAAATTAAATAACACAGGAAAGGTGCTTTGTTTTTTATTTTCATTTTTGCATCGCTGCATTTTCATTTCATTTTTCAAAACAAATACTTCATTATGTAATTTACAAATGAAAGGTGTGTCATATCATTTGGTTATTCTTACATATTTGGCTTTTGTTTGGATTTGAAACCGTATTATGAAACAATTGTTTGAAAAACCCAAATAATCAATTCTATAATTTACAAATTAAAGGTGCTTCGTCTCATTTTATTTTAATTTTTATTTGGATTTTGGTTGGATTTGAAGTCTGAAAATAGTGCAAAAACAGCTTCACATTATGAAACAAACAAGTTTTCAATTATATAATTTATAAATGAAAGATGAATTTCATTTTTATTTGGATCTTGATTGGATTTGAAGTCTGAAATTAGTGCAAAAACAGATTTGCATAATGAAACAATTGAATAAAAACAAAACAAATACTCAATTCTATCTTTTACAAATGAAACGTGCTTCATCTCTATTTATTATTTTCAGTTTTATTTGGATTGTGATTAGATTTGAAGTCTGAAATTAGTGCAAAAACAGCTTTACATTATGAAACACTTGAGTTAAAAACTAAATTACTCAAAACAGTAAAAGTAATATTATAAAAGAGTTCAGGCTCTAAATTCTGATCTACATTGGAAACAGTTGTGAAGCACATCAGTTGAATTCTATATTAATGCGAGACTTTGCAACTGTGAACCACTAAACACTGCTTTTTGTTGTGCAAAACACTCCTCAATAACAAATTCTTCCTCTTGATTTATTTAGGACACATCCCGCTCTGAATTTTTGAGTGCTCTATATTTGTTCTGTGCTGTCACATGTAAATTGAGTAAAGCAGTCCAGCCAGCAAATCATGATGTAAAGGGTGTAGAAAAGTATTCAAAAGTCAGACATGTTTGTGTGGTCATATTGCATGTATCGCTCTCCCACCCAGCTCAAACTCTAAGAACAAGCGTAAGATGGATTGTTTCAAAGGACCACGAGGTTTGTTTTGGTGCATCACTGTGGCAGAAGCACAGAATGATCCAGTTACTGAACCACGGATGTGTGACTGGATGAAAGACCACTGATGTGACTTTGAAGTCTCATTTTCCTCCTCTGAGCCCTTCATCAAACTTCCTCCCACTTATGTGCGCGCGCACACACACACACACACCTACCTTAAAAACATGGCCATTGTGTTTCCTAACTAGGATCTGATTATTAAAGAATGAAAGCAGGACTCAACTATGTGTGTGTGTGTGTGCGTGTACATATATAT